TGCTGAGGTATCATCGTCTCCCTAATGATTAAAAAAAGTCTTGCCATCAATATCTAAATCTGCATTTTTGAACTATATCCTCCCAAAAGAAAACTTCAATATCTTTTTGATCTTGCTCGGTTTTAATTGTGGCCCTGTATAAAAGGTATAAACAGACAGCTTTCGCTCGACACATTAATGGGTATTTGCAGGAGAGAGGGGAGTGTGTGCGTATGTGTGTGTGCTCCTCACCGCGGCAACCAGAGCTCTCGGAGGAGAACACTGCTGTAATTATAAAAGGAACAAAGCACTGGAGACTAAAAACACATGAAAGGAAAAGAAAACATACAAGCCAATCAAGGCGCTCACAAACACGCTCACCGATGCATACACACACTCTTAGCTCTGCGTTTTGTCCCAGCAAAGTTACATTACAAGCTTGCAATGATGCGTTATCAATCGCAACATGGCATTCAGACACCACCAGATACATGTCTATATTTAAAGTACATTAGAACAAACCCTAATTGATTGATCTAGTACACGCATCGCACAAGAACCGATCAGACAGCCCTCTTAAACTGTCTTCTCCTAGAGGAAACGATAAAACCCTAAAAGCAGGAAGGAAGTCATGAAAGGAACAGGTCTGGATAAGGTGGGGTCACTATGACACACACACACACACACACACACACACACACTGGTTTTAGTGAGAGATTCAATGAACAGCTACCTGGGTGTTTGCAGCCATATTACCTGCCCATTTTAAAGGCACTGTTCATTCAAAAACTTAAATTCTGTCATCGTTTTCTGACCCACCTGCGATTACAAACTTTATTTCTACAGTGGAAAATACAAAACAAGATATTTTGAAGAACAAATTTGCTCAACAATGAAAGTCACCAGGTGGTCCAGGGTTTTTTGGACACCGACGTTTTTCAAAATATCTTCTTTTGAGTTTTGCAGAAGAAAGACACAAGAGAGAATAAAATAATTTTCTCTTTTTAAAAAAAAAAGCCTTTAAATTAATAATAATAATAATAACAATAAGTTGAAAACGAACCAGAAATTAGCAGAATTGGCCAACTGTGTAATTTTGATCCTAACATACTGAGATTGGTAAAACTATGCCTATTTTAATTTCACTATATTCAAATGTATATAATTTATATTTTGTTTTAGTTGTAATGTTTTGTACATTTGCATATAAAAAAAAAAAAACTAAATAAAAAGAAGGGGCATTTCCCCATCTATTTATATTTCATCATTTTATTTTAGCTATTCATTTTTTTGTAGTTGTACATAATGTACATATATTTCTCCATGCATTTATTTAAATACTTTGCTTTAGCTATTCATTTTTATTTATTTATTTATTTATTTGTAGTTTTGCATAATGTACATATATATATATAGGAAAGTGTATAGAAAAGGGGGGGGG